ATACTTATAGAATATCTAGCCTTTTAGACTAACTCTAAGCTTCTATATTAGTAGTAGGCAGTAGAACTAGGCCCTGTTTATTTCCTTACCTAAGAAGATAATATATAGAGGTACTAACTAGCCTTCTATATTAATATAGGTAATAATAGTCTACTACTACGTTAAATTAGAAACTAAGGCCTTAGGTCGCTACTTCCGCTCGGTAGTAGTAATAACTATAGTATTCTAATAGTGTCTAAGCCTATATCCGCTCTTATTAAAGTTATACGTATTATACTCTATAATTCTATAGTAGGTTTTTACGTTTTAAACGAGCTTAAACTACTCTATAATAACCTCTAGATCCTTATTCTTAGCCCTCTAGTTTAATAGCCTTCGTAATAACCGTGTTTCTAAGCCTATATAACGCTTAATAAAGTTATAAGCCTATCTTTAGCTAACCTCTTATCTATTCTATACCTTAGTTATTAAGAAGGCCTAGCTTCTAATTATAGCTTATATTAGCGAGTAACTACGCGAATCTAGGTCTAGAATCTTCTAATAAACTACCTCCTCTTTAATCGGAGTAAGAGCTCTGTTCGGTAGAGGTATACTAGTCTTTAGAGCCGTACCTTTAAGCCTCCGGCTAAGCGTTATATAATCGACTCCGTACGCAGTTGCAGCGCGTCGCACGCTTCGAAAACGACCTAATTAGTAGCTACGGATAGTATGCTAAATAGCTTCTTCGTTTAGAGGTGCTATCGCGTAAGGTGGTAGAATAAACGACGCGTTTAGTGGTGGTGGTGGATACGAGATAGAACTGGCTCACATGCCTATCTGGCTTACATGCTTATCAAACACGTTAGTTCTTGGCGCTGGCCGTAGCTTAATTCAGTGATGAAGTGTAAACAGTGCGATAAACACGCGGGATTCGAGACGCGGATCGGACTTCACGTCTGCGCCAACCATACCATGGACCACGAAAGCTTGCGGACGGCGTCGACGTACTTGAATAACCTCCTTCTCGCTCGCGGTCTCCTCAAAAATGGCGAAGCAATTGACTTTGTCAAGCCCTCGAGAGAGTCGCGCGCGTCTATCATCAACCTGGTTCACGATCTGATCCTCCGCGAGGACCGCGAAAAGGAAAGCCGAGAACATGTCGCGACTACGATCCAGCAGCTCCGGAACGAGAATACAAAGAAGACGCAGGACATCGAGACTTTGCAAGCAAAGAATGACCAGGCGGCCAGAAATGCAGCGCAGGCGCAGCAGGCGGAACGCGTTGCTCTTGCAGAGGTGAAGAAGGTGGAGAAGGCAATGAAGGCACTACAAGATCAACTGGCAAAGGCAAAGGTCACTCTGGCGCAGGTCAAGACACAATGTGCGAATGATGTCAAGAAGAGAGATCTGGAGCTGCAACGGCTGAAGACACATCTACAAGGACAGCAACGAGGGACACGGGTGGGCATGACTGCGCCATCGATGACTGTGCGGAAAACCATGCAGGAGCCTCAGAATGTTCACGATCCCGAATGTTCGCTCAAGCAGGAGACGACCGAGTTCTTGACCCAGCTCAGCCAGAATCTGAGCGATGAAAATGATGGGCTGATCAGTCTGGTCCGAAGTGCGCTGAGCACAATGCATGACCTGTTGGGCACTCAGTCCGAGTCTCAGAGGAAGGTCGACAGCGCGATTGGAAGTTTGGGAAGCGACCAGGCCTCGAGATCGAAGAGCCGGAATGCTGGCACAAACTTATTGCAACAAGAACCGGAAACCAGCTACGAAGTCCTGGCCGCTGATTTGGAGAATACTCTTGAGCATTTGAAGTCCATCCTCACCAACCCGAACTTCGTCAGCCTGGAAGAGTTTGAGAAGGAGGTGGAGACGCGGGATGAGGAGATTGCAAGTCTTCGAGAATGCTGGGAACACATGGAGCAGAGGTGGCAAGAAGTGTTGGTCATGATGCAAGGCTGGGTCAAGCGCATGAATACGGGAGACACCATTAACATTGATGATCTTCGCAAGGGCATGGGCTTGGTGACGCCGAATAGGAGAGATGGGAAGAAGAGGAAGATGGAGCAAGTGCCGGAAGTGCCAGAACCGGAGTCTAGCTTGATGGACAGCGAACCGAGTGAGATACAGCTACCAAGCAGCGAGGCTGCTGCGACTGCACCTACAACAGCGACATCCCAGCAGGACTCTTCTCTACGTGCTAGCGATGGTATGAGAAGTTTAACTTCGAAGCTGAATGAGCTCGACAGCCCGAAACGGAAACGCAATGTTCTGGAACCGCCGGATATGTTCGACTTCCGGCCTGCTGACAAGGGAACCATCAGAAATTCTACAGCCGGTCGCTCACCGCAAAGCAAGAGTAGCAGGGCGTTGAACGGTGGCCTGGCCGATGTATTCTCGCCCATCGCCAAAAGTAGCAGCAGGCACGTCACTCGAGAGCCCACGCCGGAGCCAGTCGAAATGGACGACGGCGAAGAGAGTGAGGAACTCCAAGTGCCACAGATGACCATCATGGAGAAACTTGCCGCAGCTCAAGAAGAGGCCGACGAAGCCAAAGCGCATCGTGATTCTGGTCGTGCTGCCGTCAACGGTACCTCTCGCACATCCAAATCGAGGCGGCAGAACATCGAACCGGATTTTGGTCTTGATGGTGCCCAAGATGTTCCTCCAGGTGATGACACACTGCGAAGAATGGAAGGCGGAGATACGTTGGGCAACATGGATCTGCCTGGCAGTCCGATGGCGAAGAAGACGAGAATTCGAGGCAGGCCGAAAAAGAGGAAGAGTACGTTGACGAGGGATGAGATGGCGAGTTTGTTGGTCATGGATGACGATGAGGCATTCTAAGCAATCGAAGGGCCTTGAGAGGATTGACGTGCGTTTTTGAATTGTTGGTCAAGCGACGAAAAGCGATGGCGTTGGTTGGATACAGTTTTGGGCAGACAATGTACATTCAGCATGACGCTCTACAATGCATATTGCCAAGTTCGGCCCCGAGATAGGATTGTTGCTGACTGCGAACAGCACCGCATCCGATTTTGGTCCCTGCTCCATGCTATCCGCTTACTTTAGGCAACATGCTTAGTTTGGGGAGCGCTGACCTTGCGTAGTCTAACGTGTTTGATAAGCATGTGAATCAGATAGGCATGTGTATCAACTTCTATCTCGTATCTACTACTATTACTAAACGCGTCTATTATTCTACTATTTTACGCGATAGCACCTCTAAACGAAGAGTATATTCAGAATGCTATTCGTAATTACCTATTAGGTCGATTTCTAAGCGTACGACGCGCTATAGCCGCCTACGGAGTTAAATATTCTACCGTTAACTATAGACTCTATAGTACGGCTCTAAAGACTAGTATACCGCTAACGAATAGAGCCTTAACTCCGGTTAAAGAGGAGGTAGTTTATTAGAAGATTCTAGACCTAGATTTATATAGTTACTCGCTAATATAGGCTATAATTAGAAGCTAGGCGTCCTTAATAACTAAGATACGGAATAGATAAGAGGTTAGCTAAAGATAGGCTTATAACTTTATTAATTATTATCTAGGCTTAGAAATAAAGCTATTATAGAGGTTATTAAGCTAAAGAGTAAAGAATAAGGATCTAGAAGTTATCTTAGAGTAGTTTAGGCTCGTTTATAATATAATAGCCTTCTATAGAATTATATAATACGATATTTATAACTTTAACGAGAGTAGATTTAGGCTTAGATATAGTAAGAATACTATAGTTATAACTACTATAGAGCGTAGGTAACGACCTAAGGCCTTAGTTTCTAATTTAATATAGTAGTAGACTATTATTACCTATATTAATATAGAAGGCTAGTTAGTACCTCTATACGTTATCTTCTCTAGTAAGGAAATAAATAGAGCCTAGTTTAAATATCTACTACTAAACTAGAAGCTTAGAGTTAGTCTAAAAAGCTAGATATT